TTCCCTTTCTCAGCCACCAGACTGCAAGGAACTGTTGGTGCATATTAATTTCACGGTAAACTGTGTACTTGGAATTGCCACACATGCTGTCTCTGGAGAGCTATGGTTATTTGTCTTGAAATAGTCTCTCATATGTTTGTGACTACTATACAATAATACTTCAGCAACAAATGCTATGGTTACATTTATATTAGTAAATAAACAGTCCAAGGACCCTTTTGTACCCCTGATGCAGCTCAGCTTACGTGGCACAGCTCACATCCGTGGAGCTAAGCTCTTTCCCCTCTTCTCCCCTGCTCCAAAAAAACAATCCAAAACCCAGAATGGCCTCATCCACACGGTTTATTAGGAACAGTCCCAGGCCCATGCTAGTTCCCAGACTGTGCTCAGACATTGTTTGGGACGGTGCTAATTGGCCATGGCCAAAACGGTTCCAGGGACTGTGCTAGCAATTAGCAGCACGTTCACTTGCGCACATGCTCAAGCCCATCGGTCGCTGTGATCTAGCACAAGACGGTCCTGTCTCTGCAGCTGCCAAAGGCAGCTCCTGAATTTGGCAACCTCCCTTGACAGATTCAGTTAATAAGGTGGCAGCTCCAAATTCCATATGCCGTCTGTCCTTCCCCCACCCAAAGAAGAGGTAGCAGGGAGAGAAGGAGTTCAAAGAACTGAGCCACATGAAGCACAGGAGCCTTCACGTGCTGCCCAAACCACTGGCTCCATCGCTGACAGTGAAAGAAGACACCAGATACAAAGATCCTCAAAGCTGGATCGACCCCAAAGGTCTTCAGCCGAACTATGATGATCTGCTAGCTGACGCAAACTAGACAGACTCAAACAACTTGCCTCAGTTTACAATGGAGCCCTCAAGGGCAACTGGCCTCACCAAACCACTGGTGCCTTTGAACAGCTGTAAAATCTTCCTCTGCTTCCAGGAATGACAGAACATTTCTCCTAGCTGAAGCACCACAACAGGGACAAGCTTAGATTAGCTGAAGTAAATCTGAGTTGGTGTGAATGCCTCCTTTAACCTACCATCATTCACATACTGGAAAAAGATTTTGGAAGAGAGAGAGAAGAGATGCAGATATTCTTACTATGTCTATCTGCACGTGACTGAATGTTTGGCACGAGAGATAACATACATTACTAGGCTGAAAACTGATAGAGTTGAAAAAAAATCACAAAAATCTTTGGGGAACAGAGTTTTTTAAGCTTTTGTCTCAAAATCCCTAAATAAAAACTGTATGTTCAAAAGTTTGGGGTATTTTCCAACCTGCATTTAACAAATGATATCACCTCCCCGTATAAACAATTGTATCATTGCTCCTGCTGTCTATCTTACTACATCTGACTTTGAACATATTCACTAATGATTGAAAAAATAATTTTAAATCCTCCTATCTGCAAACCCACCAAATTTGTAAATCACTGTCCTTCCTGTGTCTCTGTGTTGAGATGCCCAGAAAGATTTTCCACTTTTCTTCTTCTGCAGCGTTGTTGTTGTTTTGAAAGGGGAAAACAGCATACATTTTCATTTCCCCACAATTCAGAAGTATTTGACAGGAAGAAAGCATAGAAAATTACATATTTGAGAGTGGAAAGTTCTAATAGGATGATTTACAATAGAAAGTATTTTGCAATCTGTCCCTAATATAAAGACTATGAAATAATGGCTCTAGGTCTGACATTTAATTAGTATTATATAATACAAGGGTGTTGCTTGCTTGTTCTCATTGAAAATTAATGCTCTGTTGATTTGATAACTGCAGAAGACACGCGTTGAAAGTTTAAATTTTCATTAGAACTATTCTTCTTCTATCTTCTTTATTTGGTGGAGGAAAATGCTGAATTTACTTGCTTGTGCAGAATCTGACCCTGTCAAACTGTGCTGTCAAAATCGAGAATCAGGCCAGCTTCTCCTGGAGGAAGGCAGAAAAAGTTAGTCAAAACCAACATCTCCTCATGTAGGAATTTCAACACTTTTTTGTTTAAGAAACTTCTAAATATTTTTTCAGTTTTTCAGTAAAATTGAAGCTGAAACTTTAGCTAAGCTTTTTTCAAAATGTCAACAGATTTTACATATAAAAATAATTAGAGTAATTTTAAGAATACTGCCCCCCCCCCAACCCCCCAATTCAAAAGCTTTTCAGTCTTTCACAATATTACAGAACCTACTGGAACACTGTGCTTTTGCACCACACATTTTTGGAAACTTTATGTCATTTGAGGTTTTGGCACTGAACACAATTGTGTTTGACTCTTGATTTATAGCAATCTGTCTTCTTTAACCATGAACACAGCACCATAATGCTTCCAGGGCATAATTACTGTTACTTGCTTCCCTTTCAGAGTTAATGTATCAGAAGTACAATTCCACTTTCAGAGAACAGGATTCTTACCAGTCTTCCTTGCTTGAGTATGGGAAATGAGGCTCAAATCGGTTTAAAATTGAAGCATTGGTTTAAATTGGAGCATCGTTCTTATGAGGAAAGGCTTAGGCACTTGGGTCTTTTCAGTCTAGAGAAAAGAAGACTGAGGGGGGATCTTTTCAATGCTTATAACTACCTAAAGGGAGGGTGCCAGGGGGATTGGAACAGCATTCCGTGGTGAATAAAGAGGTACAGAACAAGAGGTAACGGGCACAAACTTGAACATAGGAAGTTTCATCTAAACATGAGGAGGAACTTCTTTACTTTGAGAGTGGCAGAGCACTGGCACAGGCTGCCCAGAGAGGTGGTGGAGTCTCCCACTCTGGAGACACTCAAAACCCGCC